ATATTATTCAGGAAAATTTTCTTAAACTAGCAAAGCAGGACAAGATTCAACCCCAGGTAATATAGAGAACACCACAAAGATATTCCTCAAGAAGAGCAACCCCAAGGCACATAATCGTTAGATTCGCCAGGGTTAAAACAAAGGAGAAAATACTAAGGGCAGCCAGAAAGGTCAGGTTACCCACAAAGGCAAGCCTATCACACAACCTAAGTATCCATCAACAGGTGAAGAGATAAACAAATTGTAATACATCCATACAATGGAATACTAGTTAGCAATAAAAAGGATCTAACAACTGATACAGGTAATGAAATGGAGGAATTTTTAAATAATTATGCCAAGTGAATGTAGCCAGGCAAAAATGTAAACGTATTGTATGATTCCATTAATGAAAGATCTTAGAAAACGTAAATTGGCCTATAGTGACAAAAAGCAGACTGTGGCTACCCAGGGATAGGAGTAGAAAACGGAATGACAGAAAGGGGAACTGGGAATCTTTTGGAAGAAATAGAAATACTCATTATCTTGATTGTTTCATATATGTATGCATATATGTAAACTAATTGAATTATACTCTTTCAATCTGTAGATATATTGTACTTCAATTATACCTCAGTAAAACTGTGAGGAAAACACAGTTTTTATTTCAGCACACAGGATTCCTATGGTCTGAAATTAATCTCTACCTCTTCAGAGACTGCCTTGGTGACTGGGGGTTTTGTTCTGTTTTTAAAGAGACGGGGTATTTCTCTATCATTCAGAACAATCCTCCCACCTCAGACTCCTGAGTAGCTGGGATTACAGAAGCGTGTCACAACGCCCAGTGTAGAAACCAGTGATTTGTTATTCTTCATCTAGCAATACTGAGAAGGGGACAATCTAAATTGCAGTTGAAGAGGAAAGTGAGAAATAATGAGGGAGAGGGACAATTGAAAAACTACATTCAGGGCCAATATATGTAAAACATGTCATTGAACAAGGAGAGTACAGCTAACTTCCTAAATCACTTGCAACAAAAAATCTGTTTCTTCTCCATGAATAATTGAAAGAGAATACTACTTACTCAAGGATATTTGCACAGGGTTCTCCCATACTCAGGTTAAAAGTAAATAAAGTAAGTAGGTGAACGATATGAACAGACATTTTCAAAAGAAGACATATATGCAGCCAACAAACGTAAGAAAAAAATGCTAATCACCATTGGTCATTAGAGAAATGCAAATCAAAACCGCATTGAGGTACCATCTCACATCAGTTAGAATGACGATCATTAAAATATCTGGAGACAAAATGCTGGAGAGGATGTGGAGAAATAGAAACACTTTTACACGTTGGTGGGAGTGTAAATTAGTTCAACCATTGTGGAAGACAGTGTGGCAATTCCTCAAGGATCTAGAAATAAAAATTCCATTTGACCCAGCAATCCCATTACTGGGTATATACCTAAAGGAGTATAAATTGTTCTATTATAAGGACACATGCACACGTATGTTCACTGTGGCGCTGTTCATGATAGCAAAGATCTGGAACCAACCCAAATGCCCATCAATGATAGACTGGACAAGGAAAATGTGGCACATATACACCATGGAATACCATGCAGCCATAAAAAAGATGAGTTCGTGTCCTTTGTAGAGACATGGATGAATCTAGAAATCATCGTTCTCAGCAAACTGACACAAGAACAGAAAACCAAACATCGCATGTTGTCACTCATAGGAGGGTGATGAACAATGAGAACACATGGGCACAGGGAAGGGAACAACACTCACTGGGCTAGGTAGAAGGGGCTAGGGGAAGGGAGGGACAGCGAAGATGGGAAGGGCTAACTCCGGGAGAAATGTCTGATGTAGGTGACGACGGGGGCAGGGGGATGGAGTCAGCAAACCACCACGGCATGTATGTACCTATGCAACAATCCTGCAGGATGCAGGATATGCACATGTACCCCAGAGCCCAAAGTATAATTTAAAAAAAAAAAGAAAAAAACACTATAAAATCTAAAGTAAAACAGCAGAATAGTTCTTCTCAAGCCTTGACAGTGTCCAAGGACACTATGGGGCAGGGAGAGAAAAGGGAAAGGGCTCTCATGCTACCACAAACCTCTGGTTTAGGAAATAGAAGGACCTGGCTCTCAGGAATTGAGTCCAAACATTCAACTCATCAACAGATCCTCCTCCTCTGATGTCATATTCATGAAGGAATTTTCTGGTTTTAATTTTCCCATATAGCTTTCTTAGGGACAAAATACTGTCAGTCAGGGTGAAGGGCTAACAGTTCTATTTCTCATTCTGAGTCAACAAGTTTCCACAGGATTCACAGAGCAGTCTCCAGTAAGCTTTGGCAGTAGGAATCAACAGAAGAAGGAAGTTTGGTGGATAGGATGAGATGAGTATACAGTGGGCCCCTGAAGCTAGTCCCTGCAACCACGCCAGTTCATGACATATTATAACTGATAAAGACAACAGAGTACATTTTTCATAAAGCTAAATTTATCTTCTATTATGATTATGACCTTCTCAATTTTTTAAATACTAAAATATTCTTCCTCATATGAAATTATAGTAATACTAGATGATGTTCTTTTTAATGTTCTCACTTGGCAAAATATAAAGTTGGTAAGCCCATGTTCTCAAGTCTCAAATCTTTTTCAAATTGCAAATCACAAATTCTAGAAACCACTGGGCTGATGGATAACAGATAATATGTGTTCCACAAAGAAGTAACAGAGTGGCTTCCAGATATGCAGGAGGCCAGGGCACCACTAACTGAGCTCAGGGTCAAAATGTTTCAATAGCAAGAAAGAATAATAGGTAAATGGATAGCTTTGCATTTGAACACACCAACAATTATTTTTATCTAATTCATTTACTGAGTGGCTGCTAATAAATAAAACATGAGTTCATTTCACTCATAAACTTTATAGTCGTAAACTTTACAGTTAGAAATTCGTTTTCTGGCCAGGCGCGGTGGCTCAAGCCTGTAATCCCAGCACTTTGGGAGGCCAAGGCAGGTGGATCACGAGGTCAAGAGATCGAGACCATCCTGGTCAACATGGTGAAACCCTGTCTCTACTAAAAATACAAAACATTAGCTGGGCATGGTGGCACGTGCCTGTAGTCCCAGCTACTCAGGAGGCTGAGGCAGGAGAATTCCCTGAACCCAGGAGGCGAAGGTTTCGGTGAGCCGAGATCGCGCCACTGCACTCCAGCCTGGGTAACAAGAGCGAAACTCCATTTCAAAAAAAAAAAAAAAGAAAAAGAAATCCTTTTTCTCCTGTCACCGAAGGAAATAAAATAATAAAGCATTTAGAAAAACTGCACAAAGCTTACTGAGTACCTATGTGCAAGACATGCTAAACTCAAGAAAACCTCTAGAAACAAATAACTGATCATTTTTCACACAGTTTCACTTTCAGATGCAAGTTACCAGAGAACTGAAGAGGACAATTTTTGAGGCAAATGAATACAGTAACTCTTATAGTACCAGGCTTAAACAAAGTAAGAGAGAAAAGACGTGTTCTTATCACAAAAAATCAAAGCCAGAGCTTCCCATACCCCTGAAGTGCTGTAAAAGGGTTCTAAATGTGTAAGATAATTATCCCCTGAGCTCACAGTGACCTCCTCCCATGAGCAGTCTACTCTTATTATATTCCATGATGCCTCAAAGATGACAATTTTCTACATGTGCTGCAATGTGAAAAGCCAAGAAGCACTTTGGTTTAGATAAAAACTAATCATTTACAAATAGGTGCTAGAATGGTTGCATTAAGAATAATCTTAGGGCCAGGCTCGGTGGCTCACATCTGTAATCCCAGCACTTTGGGAAGCCAAGGTGGGTGGATCACTTCAAAATCCTGAGGTCAGGAGTTTGAAACCAGCCTGGCCAACATGGTGAAATCTCGTCTCTACTAAAAATACAAAAATTAGCTTGGGTGTGGTACTGCAGGACTGTAGTCCCAGCTATTCAGGAGGCTGAGGCAGGAGAATCACTTGAACCTGGGAGGCAGAGGTTGCAGTGAGCCGATATCACGCCACTACACTCCAGCCTAGGCGACAGTGCAAGCCTCCGCCTCACACACAAAAAGAATAATCTTGGCTGGGTACAGTGGTTCATGCCTCTAATCACAGCACTTTGGGTGGCTGAGGTGGGCGGATTGCTTGAGCCCAAAAATTTGAGACCAGCGTGAGCAACACAGTGGAAACCCCATCTCTATAAAAAAATGCAAAAAAATCAGCCAGGCATGGTAGCGCACTCCTGTACTCCTAGCTTCCCAAAATGCTGCAGTGGGAGGATCACCTGAGCCCGAAAGGTTGAGGCTGCAGTGCGCTGTGATCACACTACTGCGCTCTAGCTTGGACAACAGAATAAGACCCTGTCTCACACAAACACAAAAAAGAGAAATCTGAGACATGTTAAAAATATGGATTATTGAGTTCTACTTGTGTACAATCTAATTCAGGAGATCTGCAGAAAAGCCTAGAAATGTGTAGTTTAACCAAGTACACAGACAATTCCAATGAGCAATCAAATCTGAAAAACACAGATCTAAATTATTCATACAAAACCTAAAATAGTATTATTCAATTTGGGGGAAATATTAAAATCTGTCAACAAAACTGGCTAACCCAGTAACACAATTAACAAATAGAAGTAAGAAATTACTGTGATCTTTCAAGAACTGCAGGTTGCTTTTTCTGTCTATCCTTATAAAACTTTCCACATCTTTTACAGGGGAAAAAAAAAAGAAATTACTGTAGTCACATGTGGATCAGCTTGTTAGTAGACAGATGAGATTTGGATTGGGAAGTCACTAGTACAGAAACTTATACTAAAAGGAGGACAAGAATGAAGGAAAGCAAGCATGTAGCTTACCAAATAGATAAATATAGCCAAAAACTAGGCAGAATACAGGGAACACAAATCACAAAACAAAGAAAAGAGAGAGTGATCAGCAAATTGATAGGTGGTTAATCAACTTCTTAAAACTTTAGGTTTACCATATTCTGTGTTGAGGCCCCATAATTTCACTTTATTAGCTTCATATTGGGCTTTCTTCTTTAACCGACAAGCTCTGTGAAAGGAAGGAGCAATTAGTTCACTTTCTTTTTCTTTAATTTTAATTTTATTATTTTTAATTATGGAGAAGGTATCTCACTATGTTGCCCAGGCTACTCTTCAACTCCTGGCTTAAGTGATCCTCCCTTTTTGGCCTCCTAAAGTGCTAATTATAGACATGAGGCACCATGCCCAGTCAGTTTTCCTTTTTAAGTGAATATCTGTTTTTCATTTTCTAATAGCAACCCAAAACCGCTGCCTACTGACATTTATCAAATAACTGGGTTACCAGAAAACACAGCATAATCATTTATGCAAATTGATTTTTAAAATTTTAGCACATATTTAAAAATAAAGCTATGATCAGTATATACCTATTAAAGTGGCTAAAAAAACAAAAGCAACCAAACAAAAACTGATTAATACCAAAAGTTGTAGAGGATGTAAAGCATGGGAATCCTCATATGTTGCCAGGAGGAATGTAAAACAGTACATACAGCTACTTTGGAGAATAGTTTGGCAGTTTCGTATAAACATATATGCTTGGATATTTATCTAAGAGAAATGGAAACTTATGTTCACACAAACATGTTTAAGTGAATGTTCATGGTGGTTTTATACATATTTGCCAAAAACTGGAGGCAACCCAAATCCCCTTCAACTGGTGAATGGATAAATTGTAGTATATCCCCACCAAAGGAATACAACTCAGCAACCAAAACAAAAAAAGTATTACTCGAGGCAACAATATGGAAGAATATCAAATGTGTCACGTTGAGTGAAAGATGACAGATTCAGCTGGGTGTGATGGCTCATGCCTGTAATCTCAGCACTCTGGGAGGCTAAGCTGGGTGAATCACTTGAGGTCAGGAGTTTGAGACCAGCCTGGGCAACATGGTGAAACCCTGTCTCTACAAAAAATACAAAAATTAGCTGGGCGTGGTGGCTCACGTGTATAATCCCAGCTACTTAGGGGGCTGAGGCAGGAGGATAACTCGAGCCCGAGAGGCAGAGGTTGCAGTGAGCTGAGATCAGGCCACTGCCTGGGCGACAGGGTGAGACCCTGTCTCAAAAAAAAAAAAAAAAAAAAGGAAGACAGAGTCAATCAAAGACTACATACATATACTGTATTCCATCTACATGACATTCTGGAAAAGGCAAAACTATGAAGACAGAAAACAGATCAGTGGTTTTGAGGGGCTTCAGTTGCAGGATGGTGCTTGCTTTTACAAAGAGGCATAAGGAAACTTTTTAAGATGATGAAAATGTTCAATATCTTGATTGTGGTGGTGGATATATGATTGGATATGTTTGTCAAACTCATAAAAGTATATACTTTAAAAGGTATACATTTTACTGTAAGTTATAGCTCAATAACTCTGACTTACTAAAAACAAAAAATAAAACTATGAAAATTTTTTGTTATACTATAATATAATGCACCAGTCCATTCATCTTTCCCCTCTTAAAAATTTTTTCCATAAAACATAAATACCATCTTCTACTTTCAAAAGAAAAATTATAATATTCTCATTGTAGTATTTATAAAAGAAAAATACAATTTCTGAATAATGGTTGAAGTGTTTGACCTTCTATAAAAACTCACTTAGGGCCTAACCTCATCTCCTAAACTTTCTTCACATGAGTGAACATTATTAGCATTTACCTGGAAGCCAGCTTATTTTTTTCCTTCCTTGACCTTGGCCGGGCTGTTAAGGGAAGCTCACTGACTGGAGTCAGGTCACTAATCACCTTATTCAGCTTCCGAAGTTCACTGCCTATCTGGAGCAGTTTTTTAGGATTTGGAGTCAGGTCTTCTACATCAGTTCTCCGTGACTTCTTTACTGCATATTTTCCTACAAACAGTTTAAATGAAGTTCAAGTTAGATCACTTTAATTAACAAGAGACACATTTTTCGCAGCCACATTTTTAACCACTCCCCACCACTACCTTTTCTTTTCAGAAGTCAGCAAGCAACAATCTATCCTAGAAGGGTTAGCCTCTTCTCCTTCCCATATTGTGGCTGCAGGAAACAGGGGTGATATGGCAGAGTTCTAACTTTTTCCAAGTTCTTCCATACCCTAGGCTTCTAGTCCCAGAATGACAGATTCTTAATTACCTGCATGGCATACTAAGCACCTCAAATCAGGATCAGAGTATAAGTTCAATTAAACACCAAAATCAGGACTAGGGTATAAGATACAGTCAGAAGAGAGTTTAGAGATTTTACCCAAACCAAGATGTTTCTGATGCTATGCCTGAAAATTGTCAGACATACACATTTTTGTACTGAACTCGAAAATCCAACAAGTAAGCATAACCTTGTTTAATAAAAGCTCTTCTTTGGGCCAGGCGCAGTGGCTCACACCTATAATCCCAACACCTGGGGAAGCTGAGGTGGGTGGATCCCCAGAGGTCGGGAGTTCGAGACCGACCTGACCAACATGGAGAAATTCCATCTCTACTAAAAATACAAAATTAGCTGGGCATGGTGGCGCACGCCTGTAATCTCAGCTACTCAGGAGGCTGAGGCAGGAGAATCGCTTGAACCAGGAGGCGGAGGCTGTAGTGAGCCAGGATCGCACCATTGCACTCCAGCCTGGGCAACAAGAGCAAAACTCCGTCTCAAAAAAAAAAAGAAAGAAAAGCTCTTCTTTGGGTACTTTGATAAATAACATTATAGAAGACCCAAGGGGTCTTGGCCTATCATTCCAGGCAAAAGGGATGGCTCTGTCCTCCAAACTCCTATGACTTTCCTAGTACCCATCATATGCTACTTGGAATTATTGACTGGACTTAATGTTTCATTTCCAATAGAAAATTTATCTGAGGGTAAAATCTTGATAATTATTTACTGAGAGACAATATAGTACACCTGGATGCTAGTGGAAAGGGAAAATGAGGCACAAATATATGTCAGATGGAATTTTTGTCCTCAAAAATTCTTAGCAACTCACATCTGTACAATGAGTAAACAGCCTGTTTACTGACGATCATGCTTACTAGTAGTTTCCCTCCCCACTTTTTTCAGTAGACTTTGGATTTTTTTTTACTCAAAGCAGAACTAGAAACTTTAGATTTAAAAATAACATTTGTGCAGAATAAATTCTACTTAATCACAGCTTCCTGAGTTCAAAATTCAAAATTTCACCTACCTAAGATGGTCACACTTTTAAAAATTTTTTAGAGATAGGGTCTCACTCTGTCGCCCAGGTGGAGAGCAGTGGCACAATCACAATTCATTGCAGGCTTGAATTCCTGGATTCAAGGGATTTTTCCATCTCAGCCTCCCAAAGTGCTGGGATTACAAGCATGAGCCACAGCACATGGCCTGACCTACTTAAGATTATAAATTTCTTCTGATTCCTCCTACAGGTATTCAACTCTTCTCTACTACTCCTTTTCTCCATAACCATCCTTCCTTTCTTTTCTTTCCTTACCCTTTTATCCCCACTACCATTTGAATTTCAGTCCCCCCATTTACATTTAGATCTGGGGATTAGACAAGAATGTAAGACAGCCTGTTCACTATCTCTTCAACCCTTCTGGTTATATAGCAACTGTGACAGATCAGAAACCAGCAGTTGGTTCCTGGATGGGGTAAGTAGATTAAGAAGGGACTAGAAATGAAATCATGTTTGCACAGTCCTTCCTCCCTACTTACATGAGGACTCCTAACACTGGTAAAAGCTATTTGTGAGTGATGCAGAGCAGTAAGGCAAATGTAGCAGCTCTACAGTCCCCGCCTCCAGTTTGCTAGGAAGGGTTGAATGCCTAGGTACACAGGGTAAGCATTATGGATTAGTATCTCAACTTAACTAAAGGGACAATAAATATCTGACTGCAATTCCCTCTTACCATGATGCAAGCCATTTTTCTGATACATATTGCTTGGCAAGGTATCCCGGTTCCACTCAGATGGTCTCAGCATTCTCTCTTGCTGTGATGGTGTAAGTTGTTCACTATACTCCCAGAAGTATCTTCTTTTACCTCTCTTCCGTGACGATATTGAAGTCATCTCCTTCAAGTCTTCTACAGAATCATTTTCATAGCCTTAAAAAAAAAGGTCCCCCGATTTTTAAGCTCCATAAATTTCAATAAGTCAATAAGGACAAACAAAAAGATCCCTTCTATTTGTAATTTGGTACATTTCCTTGCATATGAAAACATCATTGGCATGTCAAAAATAATAAACTAGGTCTATAAGAGAACTTTTAATATGTAAATCCCTAACTCATAAAACATTCAGAGATTAATAAACAGATAACTACACTGTTAATCTTCCTCGGGTTTCTCTTTGATTTTTTTATAAGTTAGTATATGATACTATTTTTATTATCTTTACACAGGATTAAGAAAACAATTACAGGATAGCTACAGGATTATCAAAAGTACCATCGGATAATAGTACTTAGACACATATATCATGACTTTATTAAATGTCTTCCTTCTAATATTTACGTATCTGAAACATCCCACACAGAAAGATATGTGTATTTTAGTATTTTTAAATTATTTTTTCTTTTTTAAAAAAATTTTTGTAGGCTGGGAAGAGTGGCTCACACCTATAATTCCAGCATTTTGGGAGGCTCAAATGGGTAGATCACTTTAGGTCAGGAGTTCAAGACCATCCTGGCCAGCATGGCAAAACCCCATCTCTACCAAAAATACAAAAATTAGCCAGGGCGTGGTGGTGCACGATGTAATCCCAGATACTCGAGAGGCTGAGGCACAAGAATCACTTGAACCCAGGAGGGGGAGATTGCAGTGAGTTGAGACTGTGCCTCCAGTCTGAGCAACAGAATGAGACTGTCTCCAAAAAAAAAAAAGTTATTTATTTATTTTTATTTATTTATTTAATAGAGATCTCACCATGTTCCCCAGGCTGGTCTTGAACTCCTAGGTTCATAAGCAGCCCCTCTGGCCTTGGCCTCTGAAAGTGCTGGGATTACAAGCATGAGCCACCACGCTTAGCCGTGTACATTTCTATGACAGTGTTCTACTGGGCAGAATTTTATGAGGTTACATTAGTTTTCTTCCTACTTCTCACCCTACTTTTGGAAAAGCATAAAAGATGACAGTTCTCACAATGGTTATCAGATAAAAAACTTATATGCCTATTCTAGTTAATATTTTATTGAAAGCTATTTGTATGAACTTCACTTTTTTTTTTTTTGAGACGGAGTCTTGCTCTGTCTCCCAGGCTGGAGTGCAATGGCACAATCTTGGCTCATTGCAACCTCCACCTCCTGGGTTCAAGTGATTCTCCTGCCTCAATCTCCTAAGTAGCTGGCATTACAGGTGCCTGCCACCACACCTGGCTAGTTTTTGTATTTTTAGTAGAGACAGGGTTTCGCCACGTTGGCCAGGCTTGTCTGGAACTCCTGACCTCAGGTGATCCACTTGCTTCGGCTTCCCAAAGTGTTGGGATTACAGGCATGAGCCACCATGCCCAGCCATTAACTTCACTTTTTAAGAAGGGGGGATCTTCCTGACTAATGGGAAGTTTCAGAAAATACTTAATTCTGAGTTGCTAGAACTGTTGGTCAGACCCAATATTGAATGACCTATAAATTTAAAATACCATCAGAGAATGGCCACCTGTAATGTACTCCAGATCATTAATGCTAGGTACATGAGGAAGAGGAAATGGGCTGTGCAAGAATGTACACAATCCAAACCTAAGGTAAGCAGAAAAAAATTAGGCAGCATTGGTCCTACATAAAATGATCATTCTTCCCTCCTGAAAACGTAAGAAGGTGATATGTTTGCTTTGAGGAAAAGTTCAAATTTTGGAATTTTACTAAATTTTCTCCAAACAAAGAATGAATCAGGAGTGTGCTTCCATTTATATAATAATCTGGAAAAGGAAAAATTATATGGACACAGTGGTTGCCAGGGGTTGCAGTGAAGGAAAGGGATGACTATAAAAAAAATATGAGGGGTGGGCTGCAGTGGTTCATGCCTGTTATCCTAACGCTTTGGGAGGCCCAGGTAGGTGGATCACCTGAGGTCAGGAATTCAAGACCAGCCTGGCCAACATGGCAAAACCCCATTTCTACTAAAAATACTAAAATTAGCTGGGCATGGTGGCACACACCTGTAATCCCAGCTCCTCAGGAGGCTGAGGCAGGAGATGACCTGAACCTAGGAGGTGGAGTGCAGTGAGATCAGATCATGCCACCGCACTCCAACCTGGGCAACAAGAGCAAGAATCTGTATCAAAAAATAAATAAATGAAAAACAAAAAGGCCCTTGTTACACTAGGTAAGCAAAAATTACTGGCTCACATAGATTACCCTAATTTGACTGCGAATACCTCCACAGGCAGATGTACCAACCAAAACATTCCCACCTTCCTATCAATGTCAGCAATTGGTGTTCCACACTTAAGCCTACCCTAGCCCAAAGCATAAGGGAAAAAATTTTACATATAGCTTCCTCAGCTGTGTGTGTGTGTGTGTGTGTGTGTGTGTGTGTGTGTGTGTGTGTTGAACATCCTCCTGGATGCTTTATTTGATATGCTCCCTTAGATAGTAACTACCTTTGCCTCTCCGTGGGGACCTGGAACTCTGGCAAAACACTGTCCCTGATTAGGAAGGAGGTTATTAGCTCCATTTATACAAACTAAAATGCTCATGGAGGCTTGACATGATTTGGCACAGCTGGGACTGAGTCAGGCCTCACAACTCAAGGGGTCTTGCTCCAAGTAGGCTTCCCACTTTTCTTGTGCCTAATTAAATAATCTGAATAGATTTTTACCTGCATATATTTCTTTTTTTATTTTTTTTTAGATGAAGTCTCGCCTTGTCACCCAAGCTGGAGTGCAGAGGCACGATCTTGGCTCACAGCAACCTCCACCTCCCTGGTTCAACCAATTCCCTGCCTCAGCCTCCCGAGTAGCTGGGATTACAGGCACACACCACCACGCCCAACTAATTTTTTTGTTTTTTTTTTGTTTGTTTGTTTCTGAGATGGAGTCTGGCTCTGTCACCAGGCTGGAGTACAGTGGTGCGATCTTGGCTCACTGCAACCTCCTCCTCCCACGTTCAAGTGATTCCCCTGCCTGAGCCTCCAGAGTAGCTGGGACTACAGGCACATGCCACCACACCTGGCTGATTTTTAAAATATATTTTAGTAGAGACAGGTTTTCACCATGTTGGTCAGGATGGTCTCAATCTCCTGACCTTGTGATCCACCTGTCTTGGCCTTCCAAAGTGCTGGGATTACAGGCATGAGCCACCATACCCAGCCTCCCCGAAGTAGCCATCAGTTTTCTATGACTTAATATAACAACATTTTCTAATAGCATACACCATAAATTCACCATCACGAACACACATATTCTCTTCTCTCCCCTCTCTCTCTCTCTCTCCTCCACCACCCCCAAATTTTTTGCCTAAAGCCATCCACCTTTCTTGAGATGGAGACTTGCAGGAGACCTAGGAAAAGTCACCTAGGCAGGAATGCAGCAGCATGATCACAACTCACTATAGCCTCGACCTTCTGTGCTCAAGCAATCCTCCCGCCTCACCCTCATGGGTCGCTAGGAATACAGGCACTTGTCACCACACTGAGAAAATTTTTGTATTTTTTTTGTAGAGACAGGAGTCTCCCTATGTTGCCCACAGTGTCCTTGAACTTGGGCTCAAGCGATCCTCCCACTTCAGCCTCCCAAAGTGCTGAGATTACAGGCATGAACTATCATGTGCAGCTACCACCCACCTTTCAATATAGAGACTACCAATGATTAAACAGAATGAAAAAAATTATACCCCTAGATCACTGGTCTTGTACTTACAGTCATTAAATATTTCTCAAACTAGGTTCTGAAGAACACTCTTATCATAAGATATGGCTTTACCCGAAGTGAATTCTGTAGTCAGGTAAGTTTAAGAATCTCTCATCCTGTATACCTCTCTTGCCAAATCACAGAACACAAAGACATACTAAAAGACTCAAAGAAATCGTAACAGTAAATAAAGTCACATAACACTGTTCCACGAAGATAAAGATGTCTACTTTTTTCATCTCTGTATAGCCAATACCTAATATATATAGTGCCTTCCACAAAAGTAGGTACTCAAAATTTTATCAATGATTTTGTTTAACGCAACATTTCTCATTAAGCCCTTTCCCTTTTCTTTTCACGTGATAAACTATCGTACTGATCTGATTCCTATCTGACATGATTACCAAAAAAAAGTAAGAAAGACCACATTTACTGCCTAAAATTTCAATCACACATCTCTGGTTAGTACAGACTACTGTCAATAAGCTGGTACAGTCAACTGTCAAAATGATTAGTGAAGATTACAAACTAAAGTCTCATTCTGGGACCCCAATTCTTAGTCTTACAACCATGTAATTTCATGACCCTAAACAGTTGTAGCCTGTCCACAGAAAAGACTCTATTGAAATTTGGGAGCCAATCCAGAAAAGAGACTAAAACTCCATTTTGCACCTTTCCTGAAACTTTGTAGGTTCATGAACTGTTGTAGCCAAGTGCCAAGACACAGCATCAAGGGAGCTAGTCATCACAAAAAGGCCTTTGTAAACTGTCAGCTATAAATTAAACCAATCAACCCACCCTAAACTAGCAATGAAGAAACTATAGCTATCCTTACTCTTTTGCTACAAAGAATTTCTTCCTGTTCCTCACCAGTGACTCACTTTTGCATCTTTAAAGTCACTTGTTTAGCTCTTCTAGGAAAAGGAGAAAATTTTACTAGCAAAGGTGAATAAAGCCCAAATAATATCACAAAATTGTGTTAATTTTATGTTTAAAGCATGGTGCTTATTAACATTTGTGAGAACTGTCCAAATCATACTAATCAAAAGAGTTTTTCTTCAAAAGTCCACTGAAAGTTAATGAATTAAATGCCATCTACAAATTTAGGATAATTGTCAAATAGGTCCAAGGAGAGAATTTGACCCTCCCAAATGCCAGCTAATGTATAAAGCCACTGCCTTGTTATGTAAGAACAACATGTAACAAATAAGGTTTCTCCTACAAGTCAAGAGAAGAGAATGTGACGTGACAGGACAACTAT